CTAGAGGTACAGCCTCTGACTTGGAAGTTGCTGGAAATGAAATGCTGGAGGATGCAAGTGAGAAATGACCAGGGTTTTTCCTACCCAGCTCACTCTCCCCTTCAACAGCCACTGTGACGCAGGACACTGGGCCAGATGGACCTACGGCTTGACCCAGTAAATGGCAGCTCTTCTGTTGTAAACCCACCCTTTCCTAGGATCAGTCAGTGTCCTATGGCAGTTTTTTTGCATTCCACCCCTTGCTCCCATCCAGTGCTAGTAATGAAGCCCTTAATTGTCTTTAAACAGTGTTAAACCTTGGGGGACACAGGCAAGGCTTGATAATCTACCTCTGCTAGTAAACTCTCTCCCCTTTCTCTTGCCAAAACCAATTCAGCTTTGATCTCAGATACTCCTGGATGTAGTCTGTGAGGGGAAAGACCTGGCTAGAAAAATTAGAGGGCACTTGCTTTCTAGCAGTGCTTTGTTTCTCCCTGTTTCTGTGCCGCCTGTCTTGTACTGCTCTATGTAGCTCTTATCCTGCTCTCATCACTGTGGTCTCGAGTGCCTTCCAGCTGGGCATTAGCCGATGTGACTAACATCTGTCACAGGGGGTTTGTTCTCTTATCTTCTTCCCATTGGGACTGGATTGGACAGTGAACATTCTCCGCGGATCAGACTTCAGGCCAAATCCTTTGCTGGTGGAAATCAGCTTTTCAGCCAGTTGACACCAGAAGAAAATTTGGCTCTGTGAAGATCACGTGAGCCCTGTTCTCCCTCAAGTTGCTCTGCATAGACTGGGATTTAATCTCTAAAGCATGAACAGTTAAATGCACTAGTGCAATGCAATGTTGCACTCCCACTAATGTGATGTTAAGGTTGGGAAATTCATCATTCAGAAGTCTAGGATTCCAAAATTATCAGCAATATCAATTTTCCCATTTTGTTTTGCAAGCAGCACTTTGCCTATTTGTTTTCCCTTTTTAAAATGTAAATCTTTAATGTAGCATTTGGTTTTGCTTGTATGCACTAGATGATCCCAAACCAGGGGTTGCCAACCAATATAAAGGGGGTGTAAACATCCTATAATGATAAATGGGAAGGGGGATGTGGCTAGATGGGGGAAGGGGTCCTGGGAGAGAGTAGGGGATTCTGGTATGAAAAGGTTGTAAACTGCTGCTATACATTGCATGTACAGTACACCGGATATGCAGTTTCAGTGGATTATATTCTTTGAACTGACCCCCGCATGGATCCTATTTGGACTGCAAACACCACAGGTTGGCTAAGTCCAATGAAGCAACCCTATCTTCATTAAAATTAAAGAAGTAATGAGGCTGTGTTTCATTTCTAGAAATGATTTTGTTTACAAAGATTGGGGCAGGGGGTGGAGGGAGGCAAAGGTTTTGATTTGCTTTGACTCCTTTAAAAAAAAAACAAACAAAAAAAAGTTTCCTAGAATAAGAAAGCAAGCAAAGGCTCCCAAAGAAGACCACCCAGCAGCATGAATTAACCCAGTGTCGGCAGGAGGTGGCTGTGCAACTAAATACAGTGAAATAATGTAAATGTGGATAAAATGTTGGGTTTTTTTCTTGATTTTGTTTTTTCCCTCTAGGGTTATTTGGCTCTACATTATGGCCCAATCTCGCCAATGCTGTCATGCTGCAGCATCCTCAAAGATCTGCGTTAGTGATGCCAAGACATATCAGCTTTGGACTTTTGCTAAACTGCCCCTGGTTCCTGCCTGTTAGGTTTTCTGAACAGTGACGCAGCCCACCGTTTGCTATAACACTTGGTTCCAGTGCTGGGTAAGGAAGGAGCGAGTCTGTTTGTTTCTCTGGGCATTGGGTGGATTGGCTCTGATCTTTACATGCCCCAGTAACTGTTTTCTCCTTGTGGCCTAATGCAAGATAACTAGTGTTAAGTTCTGAAATCGTTCAAGGGTCACCGGAGCTAGCTGCTGTCTCTCTGGCTGTTGCAAAGGGCAACACTTCCTCGGGAACACGGCCGTTTCAGTTCTCGGTGTCCGGGCGTCGTTTAGACTAGGAAGAGTTAACTGCCTGAGTCAGGGTCATTATGTAAGCTGCAATCTCTCTCCCTTTCTCTTTCAAAATGCCAGGTGTCGCTTTCAAGACTCAGTGATGATCTCTGTGTTTTCCTTATGGGTTTTAATGAGAATAGAGTACCGTCTTTATGAACTGGTGCATGCCTGTGAGAAATGTAAATGGGGAGCAGGCGTGTGCGCCAGAGCAGCTGAGCTCCTAATCTAAACATGAAGGCACTTGTACAAGCACA